AATAATAATAATAATAATAATAATAGTGCCAATAATATAATCTGACACTTTATAAATGCTTATCATACTTGTCTTTGGCATATATCAGCGAGGTCTCTGGTTCTTCAATAGTATCTTTATTAAGTATTACCGTATTTAATACAAGATGTTTCTCTTCCCTCAATTGAAGATATCTTATGACAAGCACCACAATTATGCTACTAATAGCAGTGGCCAACATTGCCCAACACCCTTTTCTAAACTTAGGTGCATCAGTTGCAACATAAAACAAGAGGGACCACCAAGCATTAACGGCATTATTAAACATGTTCATAGATCCTAATACAATCGACCTTTCTTCTAAATCATCCTTACATACAATATTTGCCCATGCAAAGAAAGTTGCTTGCCCTGCGTAGGATACACCAGAAATATAATGAGCTGCAAAGACATAGTTGGCCGATAATGGTCTTAGTACAAGAAGAATAGTTGAAATGATCATACAACCGGCAATTAATATTCCTATTCTCCAGTGATAGCGTGCATGAGTATTATCGATATAAACGGCAAATGCAAAAGTAGCAAGGACACCTATGGCATATACACCCATAGGATAATGATTTCTATGAGGAACAGTATAATCAAAATATTGCAACCAAATTGCGAAAAGCGAATTGCTACAAAAAGATTCATTCTCGCCTCCTAATATCCATAAAACAGAAAAAAACCACCAGTGCCATCTTCCTAATACCCTCTTAAATATGGACCAATCTAGTTTCGTGTGTGGTCTTTGATGAACCCTACTCTTAGCTAATTTAATTTCTTTTTCACTGAAATAAAAGGCTTTACAAGTCTCAGGAGTATCGGGAAAAAATATGAACCCATATATGGCTATGGGTACTGTCACTAAAAAGTCAATAATAAACAACCATCTCCAGCCAGCTATACCATTGAGGTTGTGCATGTTTGTGTAGATAGCACTTTGCATCGTACTGGAAAAAATATTGCCTATAAGTCCTGAAGACGTAAATATGGCACTCCGCTTTGTAAGTTCATCTTCTTTATACCAAGACCCCAAAATTAGGTGAACACCCACAAAAGTAGAACTTTCGAATGCTCCTTGAAAAAAGCGAATGGCATATATCTGCTTGTAAGATGTCACTTTGTATAAGCCCAATGTTAATAATCCCCATGATATTGCACAGAATGTCAACCAATACCGTGGCCTAATTTTCAACAATATCAAATTATTTGGTACTAAAAATACGATGTAGCCAACATTAAAGCATGTATTTATTATATTGAACTCATCTCCTTCCATCTTCAAATCTTCTTTCATACCCGAAACGTATGCGTTAGAAATATTCAACCTGTCGACATAATTCACCCAATATAATAAACAGGCAAATGATAAGACAAACCAATCAATTTTCACTAATAATTTTGCTTCTTCAGGATCGTCGGGTGTTTTACCCCAGAGTACAATTTTTGCTTTCCGAAGTATTGAACTCATTAAAATTGGTCCGCAATAAATAGATATCTTCTGTTTTATAACTCAAGACTATTAGTTACTAGTTTATGAGATCATTACTAGTTCTAACGATAACGAAAGATATGGATCTAAAATTATTCTATTTCTAATCTACTGAAGTATACCAAAAAAATTTTATGCGGCGCTCGTATAAACTGTAGCTGAACTTGACGTTCTTTAAACACTTACACATGATATTTCTACATCATCTTCTCCATTAGTACTCTTACCGAAAAGAATCCAATATAGTATATAGCAAACTAATTGAATATCCAAAGTAAGTGAAGTATTTGAATTATTTGGAACCCATTCCCAATGAGCTGCGTAGCTTACAGACACTAATAGATCTAAGGAATTGACATATAAATTCTAAGTTTCGAATTATTGTGGGATCCACTTTACAACATTACTCTTGCTTCAACATGCATTAACGGTGTTCATATAATATAAATCGATGGAATTTTCCAACTCTCACTACTGCAACTTTTTTTCACAAAGCTCAA